AATCTGAGTTTGAATTTTGAATTTAAAATTTAAATTTAGATAAAGATTTAGATATGAAGATTTGGAGCAGTTTTCAATTGAGATTTTGAAGTTAAGATTCTGATTGTGAATAAAACTGATTTGAAAAGATAGAGCTCTACCGACCAGGAACTCAAGGCACATCCTATATAAAGAGGCATTATGCTCCACACTTAGGACACTTTTGGCTTGATTTTAAACCTTCTATACACCTTTTTTCCCTTCTTAGTTCTGACTCACTTTACTATTAAGAGTTATTGGAAATCATTGGCAAAGACAAGAACTCCTTCGGAGTCCAAGCGAGCGATCGAGCACCCCTTGGAGAGTAAGAACTCTTTTCATTTTTTTCCCTTTTGGGTTTTCTTGTTTGAATTCTCCCTAATGTTTTATGGATTGGTTCATTACATTTTTGGTTGTTTATTTCATTATGAATAACTAAATCCATAGCTAGGGTTATGGTGGATCCTATAGCATACTTTGTGTAATTTTTACTTTTAATCTCGATATTGATTTTCCTTTAGGCATACCGCTGACTCTTACGACATCAAGAGGAAAGAGACTACCCCAGTCTACCAAGTAGAGAGCAGCAGTCCACTAATAAACTAAATGGCAGCCCTTGCAAAGCAATTAGAATCTTTAATGAAGGCTCAAGATCAACCTATAAGAGCTCCTACAAGCTCAAAATTTAAGCAAGATGAGGCAAATTTCATGGGCAATCACAATTCAGGATGGAGGAGTAATCCTCCTAACTCTTAGGGAATGGCTTGGGAAGTCAAAATTCAAGTGTTTATCCCCCTCCCCATATGCAAAATTAAGGAGCAAGACCAGAAGGGAAAGAAGGCCCTAGATCTCAGTCTAACTTTCAAGAACAAATAATGCAATATGTGCATTATTCTGATAAGAGGATGACAGAGCTTGAATCCAAGTTAGATCAACATGTTGAGAAAACTAATAAGAGTTCGCAGAGGTCAAATCTAAAATACAAGCTAACTCTTCTAAGATAAGTGCACAATTAGAGCAAATTACGAACCTTCTGAGTCAAAGAGTGATGGGAATATTACCATCTCAGCCTGAACCTAATCCAAAGGAGCAATGCAATAAGTGGAAATAAATTATAAGAATCACAGAACAGAGTCACATGCATGCCCATGCTTGTTGAGAAATATGTCCATACTGATTCTACAGGCACACCCATACTTACTGATGAGCACACCCTTGCTACAATAGAAGCACGATCGTGCTTATGCAAGCACGCCCATGACAATGATAAAAGCGCAACCGTGCATCACCATGAGCAAAGTCGTGCTTCAAGCGCAGAGCCTGAAAAAGATAAGAAGGAAGAGCCTCTTGTTCAACCAAGGCCCTATGAGTCTAAAATAACTTTTCCATAGCGGCTGCAAGGTCACCTTCCTTATGGTGAAGAGTTCCATAAGTTCTTAGACCTATTGGGCAAAGTGCACATCAATATGCCTTTCATTGATGCCATCTCCAAAATGCCTAAATATGCTAAATTTTTAAAGGAGATTTTGACCAATAAGAGGAAGTTGAGAGCACATGAAACTGTGAAGCTCACCCAGGAATGCTCAGTTATAGTCCTTAAAAAGCTTCCACCTAAGAAGGCCAAGGAGGAAGCAATATAAGAAGACAAAAAGACAAAAGCTTAAACCATCCATTAATAAGCTTTTAATTTAGAGCTTAAATTTTCTTTTCTTTATTCTATTCCCCATTTTATGAATAATTTTTCTGATGTAATAGGTGTTGAGGAGGCAAAGCTATTGGGGAGACAATTACATATCAAGGGAGTCACCTATGAGACTCATGCCTTCTTCCCACCATGATTTAACAGGAATGTCAGGCTCATGACGTTAAACAAGCGCTCTCAAGAGGCAACCTATATCTTTTATTTTATTTAAATTTTATTTCTTTTTGTTTATTTTAATTTTGCTATTGTTATTTTATTTTTTAGAATAAAGAACAAGCATATTAAAATATTGCAAGAACGGAGTTGATTCTTCCAGCACACACTTTTGAGCTCTGATCTGAAAGCACGCTCGTACTCATCCCAAACACGGTCGTGCATTCAGTCACAATTGTTAGAGAAGCTTTACATCATACGCATGGCCTTGCTTAAGATTTTAGCATGGCCGTGCTCCCTCACCCGAAGCCATCATACTAAGAATTATTAGGAAACCTCCTTCTTTTTATTCAATTGCCCTCTTTGCATGCTTTTAATTTTATTGCTTTCAAACATTGACAATGTTTTGCTTTAAGTATGAGGGAGTAGTTCCTAATTATATGATTGTTATTGCATGTTCTTGAGTAAAGTGTCTATGCTATTTTTTATGATAATTTAAAACTTTTTCCCTTATGGAACCCAATTTTTCTAAATAAAAGAGCATGTTGAGTGATTATTATTGGCATTATACTTTCATTTGGAAACTAATATTAGCTAACTTTCGTACTTTAATGCTCTACATTAAACTTTAACCTACAGATGTGAGTTTGAGCCTTAAAGGGGATTTCTATATTAATTTAATTAATTGTATCCCTTTCCTCATTATTTTGTGTGATTATCTCCTTAGGATTTGTATTCTAGAACTTAACTTAGAACTGACTTAAGACTTATCTTTTTAATTGCATGTTTTAATGTGATTGAGGCATAATAGGATTTTTATTCTTGGCTTTCCGCATGTTTGAGATACAACTAGTTGTCTACTTTGAGCTTTATTGATTTTCTTGGTCCCTTGCGTTAAATTTATAGAATGTTTTGATGACCTTGAGTTTACGAATGGAGCAATTAAGTTGTTGAACTGTTTGATAAATTCTCCTCTATATCTCTCATGTGCAAAAAGAAAAAAAATAAGTATGAAAAAAAAAGAAAAAATTAATAGCAAAAAGAAAAGAAAAAGGGTTATATATGAATGAAAAGAGAGAGGAATAAAGATATTGATTATATGTAAAATGTAAAAATTACTCCAAGAACTTCATTTGTAAACTTAGGAAATATTTATAATTTTTATAATTTATTATCTCTTTGTATATCTCCTTCTTTTCATTTATCTCACCTCAATTATTATAACCCCTTGACCACATTATAATCTGAAAAAGATCTCATAATTTTTACTTGCATTTAATTTATTTAGTGGAAAGTCAGTTTATAGTCAAGCCTATGGTAGTACATTTTTCTTTAGGAGAACTGAGTAATATCTCATTTTATCCCTTAGTGAGAGAAGAAAGTAAAGCACCTTAGTTTGATGATTGAGTGAAAAGTATGAAAATATAAGATTCTAATTAGGAATCCTTTTGATTAGTTATGCTTAGTGATATTACTCTTGTTGCTCTCTTTATCTCCTTTATCTCGGGTTCCTTGTGTGGTATTATATTCAAGTTATTATGTTATTCTCTTAACTTGCACTTTGCTTGAGGACAAGCAAACAAATAAGTATGGGAGAGTTGATAAGTCTGTAATTAGGCATTCTTTTATAGCCCATATATTCATATTTTACCTTTATTTTATTTGAAAATTACACTAATTTGTATATTAATTATGCAGTTTGGTATAAAGATGTCACAATTAGAGCTTCGCAGCAATTAGCACGCCTAGACACTTTCAACAAGCACGGGGTGCTTCGTATTACAAGTTTTTAGGGTTTTTAAATTCTATTAAAAGGGAGACCTCAAGCATTGTAGGGGACACCGTTTTACATCTTAATTGTTGCTCTTTAATACACCCTTTCACCTCGTCTCTCTTCTAGGGGATCTTTGGCATATTTTGTACGAGACTTGGAGTTTTAAGCGATCATACTTGAAGATTGAGAACTCATCTCATTCTACTTTGTTTTTCTTTGTGACTTTGTTTATGATTGTTTTAATTCTTTTCTTTAGCATGAGTAACTAAGTCAATAACTAGGGTTATGAAAACTATCGTTCATGAATTTATGGGATTTTGATGTTTGAATTTAAATTTGATTTTGGTTCTGCGATTAGATTTTATCCTATTGTGTTTTTCACTTAATCCTAATTAATTATATCATCAGGCGACCGTACCTCAGTTAATTAATAAATCTATAGGATAAAATGAGACAAAAGATTATGCTATTGGCGTTTGAACATATATGGTTTCCTTTCCTTGTAGTTTATTTTGAATTTATCTCCTTTAAATAAAAAAATAAAAATAAAGATAAATATATGACTCAAATTTTTAATTATTAAAGCTCATTTTATATTTCTTCTTTTCTTTTGAAAAACGTTAACAAAATTAAGTAATTTCTAGATTAAATTCATAGTTAAAATATTTTAAAAAATGCAAACGTAATATTACGGGTCATTTTTTTTATATGGGATTTTTTTTTACTTAATTACCATAATATGGACTTTAGAAAAAAATTACATAAATATGGGAAATTTTAAAAATTGCCAGTGGCGATTTTTGAATGTCAGAAAAAGTAATTTTATATGATGGTAAAAATTGCCAATGGCAATTTTTGAATGTCAGAAAAAATAATTTTATATGATGGTAAAAAATTGCCACTGGCGAGTTTTCAAAAATTTTTGAAAGTAAAAATCGTTTATGGCAATTTTTAAGAAGTAAAATCGCCACTGGCGTTTTTTAAAATCTCGTTCTATATATAGTCATTGCAATTTGTAATAAATTGCACCGTAACCCTATTCTCTCCACTCTCTAAAGCTTTTCTATTGCATTTATGCTATTTGCATTTTTTTGTTTGTCAAATTTGGCTATTCTTTTATAGTTGAAGAAAGAAATGAGTACAAATATAGTGGTGTACTTTAATGGTGAAATTATTACAAACACATGTGAAGGTGTGAGATTTACATGTGAGAAGCCAATTTGTATGCATATTCCTTATAATATATCATACGAAGCACTAAAATATTGGCTTTGTCAATATATTGAAGTGGAGACTCCAAAAATAGTAGAGAGTATAACGTATAGGTGTCCGATTTCTATTTTTGGAGGTTTCATGCAATACCAAGGAGTTGCAATAACAACCGACGAAGATATTCAACAAATGTTTCAAATACATAATGAGCGTCGGGCCCCAACTCCTACCATTGAGCTGTATATTGTTTTTAAACAAATTACAGCTGATACACGTGCAGAAGGTAGCGATGAGGAAGATGAAGCCTATGTGAGCATCGTTCCCAACAGAGAGATTGAATGGGAACAAAACAGCACTGAAAGTGATGACCCTGACTTGGATGAAGACGGTGATGATGAGGAATCAGAAGATGAGGGAGTTAATGAAGACTCCTATTTATCAAGTCCAATGATTGGCAAACATCCGTTTGAGGAGCCGTCATTCATGCGTGCGTTAGATCTTACAAGTATGCAAGCACCTGAATTTCCAAAATATGCTAACTTAGGTATGTGATGTTTGAAATATTTTAATTATACCCTTATCATTTTATGTTTAATTTAATGAATTAGTTTTTTTTATTAAAATTTGTGTTTGATAGGTAATTATGAGGTAGTAGGAGAATTGTGTGTTGGAATGCAATTTAATAACAGAGAAAATGTTATACGAACAATTAAACATGACAGTATATCAAAAGGAGTGGACTATAAAGTATTTGAGTCTGAACCAAATACATTTTACTGTAAATGTGTAAGCTATGGCATAGATTGTGATTGGCTTGTTCGGGCTAGCTTGAGGAAAAACAAATGTTTTTGGGAAATCAAGAAGTATAATGGGCCACACACTTGTATGAGGGCTAGGATTTCGCAGGATCATAGCAAGTTGGATGCAGACACAATTGCAGAATGTATTAAGCCAATGGTAGAATCTGACCCTTCTTTTAAGATCAAACTTGTGATTAATGAAGTCCAAGCTAGATTTGGATATACGACAACATATAGAAAAGCATGGATGGCAAAGCAAAAAGCAATTGAAAAAGTGTATGCTGAGTAGGAAGCCTCGTATGAAGCCCTGTCGCAATGGTCTGTAGCGATGTGTGACGTTGTTCGTGGGTCAATTGTTCAATTGGATGCTGTTAAAGCCTGCCGCAATTGCTCCTTGCATTCGGGCATTCAGACATTGCAAACCACTTGTGCAGGTTGATGGGACACATTTATATGAAAAATACAATGGGGCTTTATTGGTAGCTGTTGCACAAGACGGCAATCAGAATATTTTGCCGATTGGCTTTGCTATTGTTGAAGGAGAAACTGCAGATGGTTGGCATTTTTTCCTTAAGAATTTACGCAAACATGTCGTGACGCAGGATGGTGTTGGTATTATTTCTGATCGGCACGAGTCAATTAATGCAGCAATAAGACGAAGTAACAGATAATGGGAACCTCCAAAGGCATTTCACATGTATTGTATCAGGCATATTGCTGCTAATTTCTTGCGAAGATTTAAGACACCTTACTTGCATAAACTTTTCGTCCGCATGGGTAATTGACATTATTCTTCTGTCAATGATATTTACATTGAATTATAAATTTTATATGTTGTTGACATACTTATATTAATGAGTTTGTGGTATGCAGGTTATTCAAGAACTAAATCAGAATTTAATATTCATTATGAGCGGTTGAGATAACGTGGAGAGGTATATACAGACTGGCTTAATGAAATTCCACGAGAGAAGTGGGTTCTTGCATATGACGGCGGGCATCATGGGGTCACATGACCACCAATCTTGTTGAGTGCATTAATTCAGTATTAAAGGGCGCTCGTAATCTTCTAATAACAGCACTGGTTAGAGCAACTTACTTTCGATTGGCTGAGTTATTTGCACGTAAAGGTTGTGAGGCATATGCGCGAAAAAAGGCTGGACATATTTTTTCTGATGCTATGACGACTCGACTTCAATCAAATGAGCAAGCATCTAGAAACCTTTGTGTTACTGTATTTGATAGGCAAAATGAGACTTTTCTTGTTCAAGATGTAAACAACAATCAAGAATATAAAGTCCAACTCAGGCAAAGGTATTGTGATTGTGGTGACATCCAGACTGATAGATATCCATGTCGTCATGTCATTGCTGCTTGCTCTAGTCAGAACATTGATTGGCGTTGTTATGTCCAAGATGTTTACAAGATAAATGAGTTGTGCAAAGTATATAAGAAGGAGTTTGGAGTCATTGGAAATGAAAGTACGTGGCGGATATATAGAGGCCCAAAACTTATTCTTAACCCAAATTTAAAGCACATAATAAGAGGTCGTCCAAAATCAACACGTTTTCTGAATGAAATGGATAGGCGTGAGATGAGAAGAACCCGACGTTGCACTCTTTGCCGAGGTGAAAGCCATAGTAGAAGAACATGTCCAAATGCTCCTGGGTCAAGTTCGCAAGGTTGATGTTGTTGTTTTATGTAGTTTTAATTTATGTTGTTGTTGTTGTGGATGATTAAGTTGTTATCGTCATGTAAGATGAAGTAGTATTGTTTAATCAGTATTAAGGGTCATATGCAATATTTGTTATATTTTGAAAGAGTATCTGCATTAAGAGATGATAAATCATATAATATTTAACTAACAAACAAAGCTTTCTTTATTAAATATTTTACTGACAAACAAAGTTGCATAATATAAATAACATTCCATGCTTAAACATAAAGACAATAATGAAAACATAAATTAAACATAAACATAAACATTAACATTAAACAAACATAATTTTCCCTTTTTCTTCTTGATTAATGAGAGGCTATATCTATCAGGGGCATGGGTGAAGGGACGTAACATGCGCGAAAAAAATCCCCTTCGTCTTCCCTCTGTAGGACCGTCATCCCCAACACCCTGATCATCTGTGGCATCGTGTGTAACTCTCTCATCAACTGTAGCTTCTGCTTGTACCACATTTTCAGATGTATTTATACATATGATGTGCTGTTGTGTCATCTCCCAAGACATGATTGGCACAGAATACTGTTCACCTAATGAAAATGTTTGCTGAGAAGTACCACCACACTCTGTTGTCACAAGTTCTGGTCGATAAACATCTTCATCATCATAATTCCCTTCATCCACAATTGCGCTCTCATTAAGGTCAAAGTTGCATGCAGGAATGTCAAGAGAAGGTCTGGCATCCTCAATGAGAAAGTCATATGTAGAAAGTAACCCACGAGATGTCCCACTTTCACTACTGCAATCAATTGATCTCCTTCGACGTGATTCATTGCTTGTTGACCCACGACGATTATCTCTTCTATCGACAGACATTCGTGAAGGTTGTTGTTGTGGGGGTTCTTCATCCCATTCAAATGGCTACCATTGGTTTGTGTGTGGTAACCAATAAAACTCCTCATTTGGTTGAACTGACGGTGGTGGAATCCCCTATTGATGCTTAGACAGTGGCAAGGACATAAGCTCTTCATCCACCAAAAACTGTTGTTGCTGGGGTGGTGGCTGTTCCATTTGTGGAGACAACCATAACCAATTCATTGCATACAATGTGTACCAATTCCAATACTCATTGGACGGGTAATACTGGTCAATTGTCATTCCTTGTAATGTACGTTGATGTCGTTGTTCCCACATCATCACCCAATCATCATGTATTAACCTCTAGTCCTTTGGTTCTCTTAATCCACGTAAATCTTTGTTGTGGACTCCGTCAAGACTTTGGGGCGGCAGAGGAATAGGTTGAGCAAATCCATATTGCCGCATCACACGGTCAGTTGCATGCCACTCTACAACCTCAAAGCATATCAATGGGCTTACAGTTGACCACAATAAACGTTCTCCTCTCAAATCATGTGGAACAACGGCATCAATCGCTTCATCCTCATATGGTCGCCACATAAACTGCATTTTCAAAAATAATTATTCATAAATAATTTCAAACATGTATAAAAACAGTTAAGAAATGTATAAATATATTAACAAGTACCTCATGTAGTGCCATTTTATTTAATGCTAGTCTAACATTTCCAAGATTCCTATATGGAGTCTTGGTTGGATATCGAAGACGTCTCCATCTGAGTATAAGTGGAAATACTACTGGTTCACCAGGTATTGGAGCCAACCACGGGAGCCTGTGTCATGCCCATACCTGCAATAATATTATGCATTCACAAATTTCTTTGGCATCATGTCGTGAACCACGATCCAAACCTCTATACAGAAAAGCAAGGCATGCTGAACCCTAACTATACATTCCAATTTCATGGACATTTACCAACAATTGTAAGAATTTTCCATGTACCAGAGAGTTGCTCTTGTTTGGCATTAAAACATGTCCCAACAAAGAAAGTACATATCCTCGAGCTTGTTGAGCTATCCTAATGTTTGAATTAGCAGGAAGCCAACCAAGGTGTTGTGTGATCCACTTTAATCTTATTTCAGAACCTTCAACATCATTTGATTCGGGCCGACTTCTGAGTAACTGTTCACACATATTCTGCAATGCCAAAGTATTTGGATTAGTAGAACCAGTAACTGCTATACCATTGCATCGCAGTCCAAGCAACAGAGTAACATCTTCTAATGTTATTGTGCATTCTCCACAAGGAAGATGGAATGTATGTGTTTCTGGTCTCCAACGTTCAACAAGTGCATTTATAATGCCACCGTTTATATGCATTTGACATAATTGTGCAATACGATCAAAACTAGCATTTCGTAAAATCTCATTTATTTCAGGCTTAGGTGGCATTATAGATAAGTGACGTGGTCGTAATTAACTATAAAAAAATAGTAATTTATCAGTAATCTATGAATTAAATATATATCAAAATATAAAAAAACTAACTATAAAAAAATGATATGTTTCTACTTAATTATACCCACACATAATATTATTATTATTTTAATATAAATTGTGCTTTACTTATTTTTACATCTATTATTATCATTATTATTATTATTTTAATACTATACAATGGCTAATATTAACACTTAGTACGAATAATTTATTATATATTTTTCAATGATAATAATTTTTATTAAAAGTAAATAATATAATAAAATTATCCAATACTAAAATTTTATAATATGTTTTTACTTAGACTAAAATAATTATCTTTATTTTATACAAACTTAAAATAAATTGCATTAATTAAAAAATAAATAACTCAAATAAAATTAAGAAAAAATTTTATTATACTACATTGTATGTATTAAAAAATAAATATTTACTTACTTTTGAATACGAATACGTTGTGAAATATGTTTGTGCGATTCCATAGTCACGAACCATTTTATTCCCCTCTTTGATATTGTCCTTCCTCCTTGGCGATTTTTCGTATTTTCCTTTCTTATTTGCGCATACAGCATGGTGCAATTCTTATTTATAAGCATAGTTCCAATTCAATTTGCGACATTTCAATACGTTACTGTGCTAGTAAAAATCGCCACTCACGATTTTTCAGTTGCAGGACAATGTATTATTGTGCTAGTAAAAGTCGCCACTTGCAATTTTACTGACTTTGCATAGTATCTGTACCCAATTAAATGTGCTTGTTTGTATTTTTGCCTGACAAATAAGTCAAAATTAAAGATTGAAAAGTCAAAATTGATAGCTCCCAGACATTGCAAGAATCGTTTCTGACAATTTTTCAAATACCACACATTTGTAATTATACAGAAAAGTCCATATTCCAGTAAATATATCATAAAAACACCATATTAAAATTAAATTCCCTAATATTACCATTTTATGCTTAATTAAAAAACTCAAAAAGTGTGGTTTATTAGTTCAGATGGGTGGAGCGGGTTGACCCCATAAACCGACCAAATGAAAACGTGGGTTTAGGGTTTAAGCACTGACGCTTCCATCTTTTTCTGTTTACAGTAAACAGTGCTTTACTGGCAAACCCAAACCCCGTCACTGTTTTCTGTTCTCTTCTTTTTGCCTTAATTGGAAAATGGATAAGACCATATTTGCAGATTTGGATAATGTTCCTGAAGATGATAGGCAAAGAATGTCCACCATAGTAGACCAGCTCCAAATACGAGACAGGTATTATTACAATTATTTTAGTTTTTAGAATTTTCCGTTTGATGTTTACCATTGAATTATCGTGCTTTACTTGTGCGTTCTGTCGAGATGTTCATGTGTATGTTCGATTTCTCTTAGCATTTTGATCTGACTGTAAATTAAATATATATAATTTCTAATTTCTTTGTCTAGTTGGGATTTGTGGGCTCGAAATAAATAAGATATTTCCCTGTTGTCGGAAATTACTGAATAATGATTTAGAATTTGTTGATGCTGGTTACCTACTAAATGTTGGTTTGTGTTTTCAATTTGATGGGTTTTAAACTTTTTATCATTGCTTAATTTACCAGAAGAAAATATGTCAATTTCTGAAACTCTGAATAGGTAGCTCTCTATTGTGTTTCTGGCAAGTGTCATTTGAGTATTGGAGTAATTCTTGTTTTCTCTCTCGCTCTCTCTCTCTCTCTCTCTCTCTCTCTCTGTGTGTGTTTTTCTTCTAAATCCGTGTCAAATGGATCTATTATTTCTGAAATTTCAGAATTGACACCATTTTTAATTGTGAACTGTGAATCCAGTATAGCTTGTAACTTTGAGCCTTGTGGAAGTACATGTTTCCTGTTGTAGTAACTTTGCCTTAAATTTTGGCCTTAAAATGTTAGTTGATGATTTTGGTTGCACGCTGGATTGTATTGGATACTTCAGAACTGCACGTGTTAAGAATTTAAAACTGACTTACCTTGCTTAAATGCAGGTTTATTATGAATTTCCATGATTAACGCTTGTGTAATATCAGAGCTTAAGCTGAAGTTTACATTTATTGAAATAGTGCACTTAGTTACCAAAAGAAAAAAAAGTGCACTTATGTTCAGTCTAGAGTTAAAAGTAGGAAAGATGTGTGCATGTAGAAGTTTTGTTCAAACTAGTAGCATAAGGTGGATTATGTTGATTGATTCTCTGCTCCAACAAAATTGCAGTCTAAAGATGTATAATTCATTAGTGGAGAGATGTTTCAAGGATTGTGTCAATACATTCTATCGGAAATCCTTGACCAAGCAAGAGGAAACATGTGTTCTGAGATGTGCTCAAAAATTCATGAGGCTTTCAATGCAAGTTGGCTTGAGATTTTCAGACATTAACCAAGGAGCTTCTACAACCGATCAAGGTGTTTTTGAATAGCCCCTGGACAATAGCTTTTTGTATCACCCAGAAATCATTTTTAATATATTTGAGTTACATTTTATTGTTATTAACCAGAGATGTTTATGACTATTGTAATTTTTTTGATAGAATAAAAGGAAGTGGAATTGCTAGAGTTATGGTTTTGACATCTTGTTTTTATGCAGTTCTCTGTTTTCTTTTTACTTTTCAGTTAAATATGAGCTCTTCTTGATTTCTAAAGAATTTGTCCATTATTTTTTTTAAATTATTTTTAAGTAAATACATAATATCAATTATCGAGGCAATATTTCTAAGAGGGGATGTTTAGGTGAGTAATCAGGACACTTTTCTCTACATCTGGCTTTTTGTTGTGGATTATCCAAATTGCAGATTCAAATAGAAGAGTGGTATGGAACTGAACAAGGTTTTGCATTGGTGCTTCTCTAAATTCTGAATGCCGAGCAAGTGCTTGAATCTTGTAGATAGATTAGAAGTATCTTACTGTTATTCTATATGAGACAAAAGCCACATTTTAATCATTTAAAAATAAAAATATAATTGAACTTGTTTTTTAATTTATTTTTTTCATTTATTTTTTTAATGTTCTTTTAATTATATGCCTCCAATAAAAAATCTTCTAACTTCGCCACTGCGAAGAACACCCTTAATTGCTATGACTGTTTAACCTCTTTTAATGGAAGTTTTTCCTTCTTTGTAAACAGCAAAAACATCTTGGAATTTTAAATTGTTTTTTGCTCAGTGATAAAAGGACAAGGCAGTGAAGGCCCCTCGTAAAATAGTAAATGTGTCCTATGCAGTTGTAATTCAACGGTTCCTGCAAATCAAATACATAAATTTCAGTTTATTGATAATCGCAAGCCTCTAGATATCAAGTATCAACTGCATGTCTCGTTGGAGGTTGGAGGCTTGGGATGATTAGGATGAGTGGGGAGGGATAGAGGAGAGAGTTTTTTTTTTTAAATTTTAAAATACAAATTTATTAAAATAACTTTATTATTAAACTTGTTAATTTAAGTTTAACATAAATAGTTTTTTTGTCTAAATTTTTTTATAAATACTGTTGTCATGTTACTTTAGGTGAAAAATCTTGATTATAGTAAAAAATAAGTATAATCATTAGATTTTATTAAATAAAAATTAAAAAAGAAATACGTAATATTTTTAAGTAGTTATGTGATTAATAATTAACTTTTAATCTTGATTACTATCATATGATTATATAATATTTATAATTTTAAAATGTGCATTGTTCAATGTTAATCTTATTTTAAATGTTTTTGCCAGTGTACAGTTGAAAGCTTATTAAATATATTGAATATATAAACTTTTTCATATATATTGTAAATTTTCTCCTTTAACCTCATGGGCCTTTGGTAGTACTTCTAGGATGATCATTACCTTAACTTTTTGTTGTTATACTCTCTACCTTATGATTCTTTGGGAGCTCTGTTTGCATGCAATTATATGATGAAACTAGTGTATTCCTTGATTCTTCGTTCTGAGATGGCTGGCATGGAAGGAGCATTAAAACTGAATTGAAACAGGCAAGTCAACTCTACAATCAATGGTTTGGATTTAATTTAGATCAGCCAAACTTGCCCTTTCAAATGAAGTTCTGGTAGTGGTTAACAAGCTTTTATTTTAATTAAGGGACTTCATTGTAATTTTAAGATAGTTAAATAAAAATATCTACAAAGATGTGAAGGTAACAGAAAAATCTCCTTTATTATATTGATACAGGTGACAACATAAAAAAGGAACATGAGTAGCACTGCAAACTTTTCTTTCCTCATTGGTATCCTATTCTTTACTTTGTTTATCCGCTATTCCGTTATCTTTGCAGTTTCAGTTTGAGTTTTTCCCTCCAATTCCCTATTGAGGCTAAACCTCAAATATTCTCCATAGTTGACTTTCTGGTACTGCTTGGGGTTATCGGCATCTATCATATGATCAAAGGGACCAACTTCTGCATCATCCCGTGGGAACAAGAATGTTACATGAGAAGTCTTTCTCTTGTTTTTATTTGTCATTGCTCTGTGTTCTACACTTTTGTATTTGCCATTACTCCATATCTGCTATCATTACAAAAGCAAGGAACTCAAAAATGAGGATAATTAAGGATTCTTGCTCTTTATTTTTTAAGCTTTTCGCCTTCTCTAATTAATTTTTTTTGTGCTAATTAAAGAAATAAGGTTTAAATATGTTATTCACTCCTTAAAAATACTATGATCTTTAGATGTGATTGTTCTAAAATTATCATTAAATTTAACAAAAGTTGGCATGGTTTTAGTTCCCTGGCTACCATGAACTAAAACCATGAAAATTTTATAGTTTTTAAAGATAAAATTGAATAAATTGAGACCAATAACTTATTTCAAATAAAATAATCCAAGTACCTCTATTACATCTCCAACATTGACAACTAGAGCATCAGGTATTGGATTCACTGGTACCCAACTTCCTTTGTATCTAATTTCTAACGCAGTTATATCATCATCTTGCATAACCAAGGAAATGGTGCATGGATCAGAGTGTGAAGTCAAACCTATTACTTGCTCAGGTGTGTTGCAAGGAGGGTAATAGTTCACACGTAAACCTTGAAGTAATTCTTTATGTAGTCCAAGAAGATCATGCTTCTCCAACCCCATGATCACAGACAAAGAACATACAAGTTGTTCACCAATTCGTTTAATTTCACTTGAATATGCCTCTATTATATCCCTGCATTAGTAGATAAATATTCCATCAACAAACCAAAATTTATGGATACATAGAGATTTTAACAGTCAAGAACACCAACTTGAATCCCTATGGGTTTCTGGCCAAAATTGAAGCTTCCTGAACTTAGTGGGGTAAACAAGTAAAATCAGTTGATTGCACCAGTCAAGTACTTGTTCCTCAGAAACAACAAAAGTATGTCCATAATCTTGGATGTCATCTGGGGGCATTTTCCACTTTTCCTTCTCTTCTATTGGAAGTTTGAAAAACTCATCTGTTACATTCTTTATTTTCTGCATTAGCTCTTTTGGCAAGCCATGATTCACAATCTGAAAAGTGATTGAGATCTCAACCAGTATTTAAAGAAGGTAAAATCTGGGTGAGTGAGAGTTTAGTATCCTCTCTAAACAATGCTTACCGTTAATGAAATTATACGAATAGATAATGAAGTTAGTATTTTAATTAAAAAAAAACATTAATATTCTTTCATTTTTAAGATATTAAAAAAATTACAATCATTAATTTAAAGAGAATATAGAATATCCTTTTAAGTTTACAAGCAACAGAGCAAACATCTTGTTCCTGCTAGGGAGACACTAGTCTTCGAAAATGTTCCTACTAAGGAGACACTAGTCTTCGGGTCTTTGCTCTGAAACAGTGACGTCCTTTTGACTGTTGCTGACGTAGCTTGACGTGGGGAGGATACTTGCAAAAGGCACTTCGATGCTGAAGTCAGGATTCAGTTTTGAGCAATAAATGTTATTTAATATTGAAAAGTCAACCCTTTACCTGTACTTCCTACCTTCCTTTTATAGGTAGTATTATGGGTTAATGGGCTTGCTAAGTCAGCCTGGTTTTGGCCCTTTAATTAAAGAGGATTAATAATTTGGTTGTTACCCTTAATTAGGTTAATTACCTTTAATTCTGGCTAAGGGTATTCGGCTTGTCCTGACTGAGGGGATACTCGGTTTCCTTTTCTGTAGGTTAGACTGAGTATTGTCTTATCCGGTACACTAGCCCCCCAAGCCCGAAGAGATATGATGCGAGGGCTTTAATAATATACTTACACATGGCATGTTGACAAAAAGGTATTATGTTTCAGTTAAGAGATAAGACTCGGTTGTAATGGAGAGTTAAGTAGACCGAGGAGGTAGTCGGTTTTAAGTCAAGTGTTAAGAGTACCAAGAGGGGTATTCGATTGTGATGAAAAGGTGAGCAAGACCGAAGAGGTATTCGGTTTAATGGAGAGAGAAATATGACGAGGAGACAAGAACCGAATACATACTTAGCTAAGAAATAAAAAATAGAGAGAAAATAATATGAATAATGATATGAAGCGAAAGGGTGTCAGAGATATTTCTTTCATTTAGGGTTTCCTTGTTTTGTGTGCCTCTGAAACAAAGGGGTGCGTGATCACATCCGTAGATATGGGAAAGATCTAACGGTTAGGAAGAGGTGTGACGCTCCGTATGCCCGACTCCTCTGGTTTTATAAATACGTGGTGACCCAAGCTTCATTTGTCACTTTTGTTCTGAATCGAGAGGTATCCATTATTGCTCTAAACCGAGAGGTATTCAGGTGTTTGGTTGTTAAGAGTTCTTTCTTCTTTTCCTCTGAACCGACTACGTCAAGGCACGTTCAGTTTAATCTTACCTTTCACTTTTAAACTCTTCTTCATGGCCGATTCCATTGAGTGGGAGGATTCCTTATCAAATACCGAGTAGGGTGGATGAAGAAGTAGTAAGGGTCCAAGTTAGAGAATGCAATGATGAAGCTGAATCGTCTGCTTCTACTGACTCTAAATCTACCAAACTTCTTCCGAGTATTAGCCCTCCTAGGGAAAGATCAGTATTTCTTCCCTGTACGATTCCCAGATACGAGTGGGTTCACGGTGAAGTGGCCGCCTACTTCTTCCGCTTTAGAAAAAATAGAAGTCTTCAACTTTTTGTAGACTACTGTGACATTTCACTGTGAGAGGGTTCGGATCCATACCCCATAATTCCTAGTACATGCCGGAATGGTCGACACCTTCTTTGTATACGAGTATATGTTTAGAGCATTAGGTATAAGGCTACACTTTGACGATTTCCAAATGGGAGTACTGAGGGTTTTAAATGTAGCGCCGACACAACTCTATCCGAATGGGTGGGCGGACTATGCAAGCCTTTAGAATCTTATGTAAATTTCATTATATAGAACCTAGTGTAGGTTTATTTCTTCATTTCTTTTGTACTCGTCCTTCAGATTTAGCTAGGTGGGTATCCTTAATAAGGCAACTTGAATTGCCATTATTCAAGCCTTATGCTTCATCTTTCAAGGGTTTCAAGACCGTTTGTTTCAAAGTAACCGTGCACCCTGTAGGTAGAAATTATTTTTTTTTATACTGAAGGTAATACACTTTTCCCCTTCCACTGAACTCGGGTACCTCGTCGGTATGACGTTTTACCCAAGGACATGTTGACGACTGAAGAGGTGTCGGCCCTAGAATACTTGAAGTCTCTTCCAAGAGAATTTCCTGCCCGAGCCCTCATCCTCTTACAGAAGTCTCTTCATCCAAGTCTGGATATGGATGGTATGGTTTATTTTTATAGTTTAGTTGAATCAAGTTGTATTGATTTGACTTTTTGTTTTTGTTGTAGGTTTAATGGCGCAAAAGAGTGTAAACATGCCGACCTATCATCACGGTTTGAGAAGGTGAAGTCCAGGTGACATTTCGGCTGAAGAGCATCGCCATCCCCAACTTGACAATGTTCCAGAGGTAATCGAGCCTCGCTCTCCTCCCCGAGACCTTGTCCTTGCTGAAGGCCAGCCAAAAAAGCACAAGGACAAGGGCAAGGAAAAAGAAGGCGAGAAGGAGAGGAAAAGGAAGCACTCCCATTCAGCTGGGCCGACTGGTGCTGATAGGACATGCAAACATGCTCGAGTTGCTGGAACTGCTAGGGCCAGCAGTTCTTCAAACTCTGATTCCCTCAGCGGTGTTATCTGACTCCTTCTTGGTTGACGGGGTTCATGCTGGACGGGTGGTGACCCCTGACTTACTTTCTAATTCGGGGAGGGATATCATCAATAATCTAAACCACAAGTCTTTGTGGCAATGCTACGCGGAGCTTCAAGCCCGAGCCATGTTGATGCTCCGAAGGCTGGCTTTGGAGCCCATGCTAGAGTTAGAGAAGGTTGAAAGAGCTAAGCAAGAGTGTGAAGAGGCCCAGTCCACCCTTGCTGAGACCAACAAGGCTCTGGAGACCGAGGTTGCTCAAATTAAAAAATATTACAACATGACGGAGCATCAACTTCAGAGCATTAAGTAGGCTCTAAGGGCTAAGCAAGTGGAGATGGAGGAGGCTTTAAGGGCAAAGTCTCTGGAGATGGAAGAGCTTCTAAGAGCCAAATCTTTGGAAATGGAAGAAGCCCTAGCTCGGGAAAGGCAAAAAGCTAAGGCCGAGATGAAGGCATTTTCTAACCAATGTTCCGACAAGATGGTTGTTGAACATGAAGCCGGATTTAATCATGTCGTACACCAATGCTACAAATTTTGCCAAGTGCTAGCCGACTTCCATTTTGATTTGACCAGAGACTTCTTCGGCAGAAGGTTCTTACCATATGATGAAGTGAACGATGACGTAGAACCAGATGCCAAGGCCCCCATCCGAACCCTAACTACTAAGAATGCCCCTGGTCCTGATGCCAGGGAGGGGGGAAATTAGAGAGTTTTCTTTTTATTTTTCTTTGTTTATTCCTAGGCCGATAGTGCCCAAATTTTGTAATGCTTTTGACAAATGAATATCAAATTTTTCCTTTCATTGCTTGTCTTATTATTAACCGACTACTAATATATTTATGAAGAACAATGACTTCAACCAATTAGGTAAGGTATATATAAGAATTGATTTGTCTTTTACCAAATAGAGGTATCCGAGATTATTGAATATTTAATACATCCTTGACCAAACAAGGGTACTCGGGATGGTATTCTTTATTCATCTTTGATCGAGTAGGGATGTTTGGGAGGGAAATAATTAATTCAACCTTAGCCAAGTACTTGGAAGAGAATTTTTAATAAATGATTTATCCTTGACCGAGTAGGGGTACTCAGGAGGGAATTAATTAATTCAACCTTGGCCAAGTAAGAGTACTTGGGAGGGAATTTTAATAAATAATTCATCCTTTGGTCAAGTAAGGGTACTCGAGAGGGAATTAATTAATTCAACCTTGGCCAAGTAAGAGTACTTGGGAGGAAATTTTAATAAATGATTCATCCTTGACCGAGTAGAGGTACTCGTGAGGGAATTAATTAATTCGACCTTGGCTAAGTAGAAGTACTTGGGAGGGAATTTTAATAAATGATTCATCCTTGGCCGAGTGAAGGTACTCGGGAGGAAATTAATTAATTCAACCTTGGCCAAGTAGAAATACTGATCGCGAGTGTCGCTCTCAGACAAATTAATAAAAACCGAATTGAATAAAAATTATGTAGTAAGAGGAGCAATCTGAGTCGTCTCCCAACAATGATAATGTTATACGATTATAAAAGTTTTAGAGGGGGTTTGATTTATAGAATAACTAATTAGAATCAAAAGTTAAAAATAATTAAAAGCTCTAATCCAACAATTTAGAAGAACTACGACCACTCTATCACTGAATTCCAAGAAGATGCATCAAACAACAAATTAGTGATTAACATTAAATTCGAATGAAACCTCAATTCAAATTAAGCATTCACACGAGAACCTCCATGCATTCGATTAACACACAATTCGCTCAAAGTTCAGAAACCTCTAGAACCTAATCGATTTATGTTAATTTAATTCACCAATGCCATTAATCTTATATCTCAAACTTGAAAATATAATTCACAGTCCTTCAAGAATTAATTACATACATCAACCAAATAATATGTAATCAAACAACTGCACAATTATCAATCCAAACGAAGAACTTCAATTCGAAATCATAATTAGCAAGAGGAGAAAGAAGGAAGAGATGAAACTGAATTTGTTGTTGAATAAATTGCGAAACCAATCCTCAAGAGTGTCACGTCCCTTTTAATCCTTGAATTAGATGAAAATCTAAGCCTCCATTAATGGAGGAAAACAACAAGTCGTAAAGGTAAGAGGGGCTGAGAGAGAGAGAGAGAGAAGAGAAGAGAAGAGCCAAAAAAATTAAATTCAAAATTCAAAATTCCGTTCGTCACTTTGTTCCATTTTTTCAGCTATGAAAACGGCCTCTTTTTGGTTCGTGGTGTGAAGGACAATTGTAGCCTTGGATGTTAACTTCAAAACGCCACTAGGATGGGCTTAATTGGATGTCTGTGGACTGAGATATGGTCCAA